AAGCAGTCTTCTCCAGTCCCCATTATTTCCTTCACTGTTCCAAATATTGTGCTCTGTACCCAACAGTCAAAAAGCATCAATGAATTTTCTTCCCCTAACCCTTTATAGCTGAAGTCGTCTAAATATCATTGAATAATTCAGTCAATATCTGCCTCAAAGAAAAAAGCACACATTCGCATTACAAAGATCAATTAGTTAACATATACTGGAAGCCATCTGTAATAAGAATAGGTCACACGAGAAGTGCTGTTACTTGTGCAAAGGAATGATTTTGGACGCATGAGATGGACTCGTCCAAAGCACGTGCTAGAAGGAAGTCAGCTTCAGTTGGTTTGTAGCTCTAGCTGTGTTTAGATCGGTGCGTCAAAGAAGCTGAGGCTGTGTGAATCTCACTACTACTGAACCCCCCCTCTTTCGACTTATGCATCATGCATTTAGGTGCCACTACTACTCGTGTGACCTACATGACTGTACATCAAACACGTCGTCATCCTACAGAGCACAAAACAGCGACAACTACCTGTTCAACCAAGGAACAGATATATACTTTATAAAACAAAGAATGAGAGTAAGAAATTGAATTCCACTTGGCAAATCACAGAAAAAAATTCTATGGAACATTGTTTCCAGATGAACACAAATATTACTATTGTTAATGTCTCTATCTCACACACATGCTTAAGTGTGTTCTCACATGCACACATGCTTTCAAACAAGATAACAATTTGAACAAATGCATTATATTTAATTTGTACCATCTTTGAATATTTAGTATTTATTTACAATTATGGGGAACAGTTCTTCTGCAAGCCTGAAAAAGAGTGTCTATGTTACAGGTCTGGAGCACTACAGGAGCAAATCAGAGTTACATCATAAAGGTACAGCAATGTTCTCTCTTTATAACTGTTCCACAGCTAATAATAACTCATATTGTAAAAACAAACAAACACAAGCATGTGTAGAAATGGGCAGAAAGAAATCTCATCTGAAAGCAAGGCTTACCTCAGTTTCATCTTCCGTTATGGAAAGTGCTGATTGAACATTAACCTCATCAGTTACCATGGCAATGCAATCTTTTTCACTCAGAGTATCAACGTCATTTTCCATTTTGATTATAACAATGTTCTGCTGTAAAATTAAAAAGCACAATTATAAAATAAATAAAATTATATATAACAGCTAAACATAAAAAAAACATACGTAATTTAAATGCACACAGTGTGTGCTACGTATAGTATTCAATATCGATTTCAATCATAGTACACCTTGAAAGATATATTTGAAGTGAAGGGCGCACACAACGAATTTCACCCAGGTATCCTCCTGATCTACATATCTCAAGAACCAAAGAATATTTTGTAAACACTACAAAGTATTTATCAAATAAAACTCAACAGTATGAAACTGTGATTCAATGTTCCACACATGGGCGATTCCACTAACCAGTCAAAATCACTCTCGACTCATCTGGGACTTGATACGAATCCGAAGGTTAAGCGTACTCGCATATGGAACAGATGGGCACAACCGAAATACAGCTATCGAATAAATCGATTGGTGATCCGACTTAGATATATTTCCAACATTCAAGTAGTCCAGTATGTGTTATGGTTTAAAACAAGAGAGGAAACGTCTAGTAAATCAATTCACATCATATTTCAGCAGACAATATCATACTACATGTACTACATTTGTACTTCATAGTTTATAACGTGTTCTACAAACCACAACTTTCCGATACATATTAGTCGAATGTCGATTAATTGCCA